CATATGACAGTTAGCGGAAGCTAGAGATTAAGGTTTATAAAATTGTAAATATGGATATTTTTCTTACACAAACGCATCGCTTCGGGAGGCCGTGTGGACTTTTTTTTATAATGAATTGGTTGAATTTTTTGGACTTCAAATTTTGGGCTACCATCCACTCCCATTATAAAGCTTGGAAGAGCCAGGATGTTTTTTAATATAACTCCGATTGTATTCGTCTGAAAGAAGAAAGTAATATACATCTAGGATGGCTTGAGGGTAAGTAAATCATGGGGTAATTTCATTTTTGGGTGAACTAACCCTTTAAGAGTCATGTCGAGGGGATATCGTGTTGTCACGATTCTCCCGCTTTCAAAACCAGGCATTTCAGAGGAGTAGAAAATAATCATTCATATTTAAACTGAGGAGTAAGTGTTGAAATTTAATACTTGCAGTACGTTTTATTGCAGAGAAACCTTTCATTTGCATAAACATCGAGAACATTTTGAGTCTCCATTTTATGACACCTTATTATAACAGACAGCACAATTCTACTTATCCTACATAGTTACACATCAAACATGAATTTAAATTATATATATACATTTGGTTGTTTATCATGTCGAGGGGATATCGTGTTGTCACGATTCTCCCGCTTTCAAAACCAGGCATTTCAGAGGAGTAGAAAATAATCATTCATATTTAAACTGAGGAGTAAGTGTTGAAATTTAATACTTGCAGTACGTTTTATTGCAGAGAAACCTTTCATTTGCATAAACATTGAGAACATTTTGAGTCTCCATTTTATGACACCTTATTATAACAGACAGCACAATTCTACTTATCCTACATAGTTACACATCAAACATGAATTTAAATTATATATATACATTTGGTTGTTTCGTTTAAGGAAATTATCAATGCAGATAATAATTGGAGTCATTTAAAAAAAAGATTTCTCACTGATAGCAACTGCATCCCTAAACGCAAACATAATTAATAAACAAAATAATTTCATTCATCACTCCTACTGCATTTAGGAGTCCTCTTCCTCCAACCTCCACCAGTGTTGTTCTGAACTCATTCACCAGTGCTGCATCCACTGGAACCATCATTCCTCTTAGCAAATGACCAAAACATGATTTCTGGACTACATGTTAATTTCCTGAAGGAGGAATCCTCTAATGCAGGGTTCCTCAAATCTTGCCCTGGAGGACCAATGCGCCGCAGAGTTTAGCTCCAACCCTGATCAAACTCAGCTACCTGTGATTTTCTAATGATCCTGAAGACATTGATTAGCATGCTCAGGTGTGTTTGATTAGGGTTAGAGCTAAACTCTGCAGGAAAGTGGATCCTGTGGGCCAGATTTGAGGATCCCTGCTCTAATGTAACCTACAGAAGTCAGAGACAGGATTA